TATTTTAAATTTACAATATTACATAACATTACAATTATAACATTTTGGTTTAAATTTGTATGACTTTTAAGAGTTGGATTAATATACATAAAACTCATAATTACTTATAAATACATTTGTAAATCTGAGCACATGGTTGTTGGCAGTTGCAAGTTGCATTGACAGATACAAGCCTCCTAATGTCACCCTAACAAGAACTCTTCCAAGAAACGACCCTTTAAACACTGCCTCATTTCTCCGACGTCACAATACAACCTGCCTCGTTCTATAAACCCATCACCAAAACAAAGCAGTTTCCCCTCAATCTTTCTTTCTTTGTTTCTTCCTCTGTTTTTTTCAGAATGGAAAATCGCCTGAACGGAACGGCACCCATGTCACCGGCAGCCACAACTTTTGTCCAAGCAGACGCAACTACCTTTAGGGATTTAGTCCAGAGGCTGACCGGTTTAGCCAGCGACTCTGAGAGGCTTCCCCTGACTCTTCCCTCAAGAACCTGGTCTAAACCCCTTCTTCCCGGAGGCGACACAACCGGGCCGCGGAGATCACCTTTCAAACTCCAGGAGCGAAGGCAGCAAACCCTGAGGAAGCTAGAGATCAAGATGGGTCTAACCTCCCTCCACGATTCATCGCCACCGATGACTACCCCGTGTCGATTCGAGTCGACTACTCCTAGTCCGGTGACTCCGTTATCGGAGTCTCTGTTTTTCCCGAGTTCCGGGACAGAATCTCCGTCCACCCCCGCGGTGTCGGAGGAGGAGAAAGGGATTGCAGAGAAAGGGTTTTACTTGCATCCATCTCCATTGAATACGCCAAGAGGAAGTGACCCACCGGAGCTCCTGACCCTGTTTCCTCTGAGCTCGCCGCGCCAGGAAACTCCACCGTAAATATCTAAGACTAGCAAGTAGAACTTTTTACGTTGTTAATTAAGTTTGGATGATTTGCTATCCAAATCATCATACAAGGTTGATAGTTTTTTTTTACCTTTTTTCTTTCCTCTGTGATAGAGATGAAATTTTCTTGATGATCATAATGGTTAAAAATATTTCTATCTTGAGATGTTAAAATCATTTGCATGTGTGATGAATATATTATGGGATTAATTGAATTTGAGCATGTCAAGTTGAAAATATTTGTCATAAACTTTAAATTAATTGAACCAAGTTTAACTCGTATTTTGAAGAAATGTGAATTTTAACTTGACTTTAAACTAATTGAATCAGGTTTAACTTGTATTTTGGAGAAATTTGAATTTTAACTTGAAAAGTCAATGGATTAATAGAGATTTTAATTAGAAATTGTTTTAATTCAAGCTCAAGAGGTTAAATTAGCTTCATTCAATGCACTAGAATTGATTCAATTAATCTTGGTATAAAGGACTTGTTTTGCTCGTGTGGCAGCATTTCTTTTGTGACTGTTTTCTATTGAATTTGATCTAATGATAGATTAGGTGGTTTAATAATTAATTTCACACATGTGCAACTGTTTAGGATTACATTGAACTTGAATGACCAAGACCAAGACGTTGATGCTTGTGAGTTTCCCCATGTCATATTTTCAATGTTTTCGTCTAATGCAATGTTATATCAGTGTTTCTCTACTTCACCATCAAATGTCCCAATTGTCAAAAGAAAAATTATATCATGATATTTCACCATAAAAAGGGAGAAATCCAGACAACATTGATCGCGACATTCTTTTCTTTTTGAAAAAAAAAAAAAGAAAAGAGTAATTTGGAATGATTAAGTCATCTGTATGCTGACTTTCTTCAAATGAATTGAAATTGAAACGTAACGTTGACGAGAAAATTTATAAAGTTATATGTAAAGAGGATGGATATATGATATATCCACCAATTGATATATGATGACTTTCTGTTATTTGATGAAAAAAAAAAAGCTTGTGACTTCGAAGTGCTCCTGAAATCATCATGTATACTTGCAAAAGCACGTTGAAGATGGGTTTTAATCTGTGGTTAGAGAATCACCCCAAATTACGAATAAAAACAGATATCTATATAATCATTATAGAATATATTAGAATTTTGTAAAGTTTCATATTTGAAATTTTATATTATTAATTACATATATGAAATATGCTGTCCACCAACTCATCATAGGGGGAAAGGGATAATTCCCTTAAGCTGCACAAAGGTCAATCAGTTAATCAAGAAGTCCCACGTACCAAGAGACATTCATGATTGTGAAACTCAACATCAAAACTGTAGATATTCCTTGTAGTCGTGACCTTGTTATAAGGCCTTTGAAATATTGGTAAAGGTAGTGGGGAAGGGGATGAGATTTGAGCATTTTCCTCAAAAGCAAATCTGAGAGTTTCGCTACCTAGCTAATTGTTTTGCTTTCCTATAAGCCGTTGGCATTTTTCAACTAAAAGCCAAGCATTTGATTGAGTGGAGTTGGGCCACTGAAGCTTCCTTTACCGTCCACTTTTCCTACTCAATCCATTAAAACAAGAAGAATCAATGCCAAGGGGTATTAGGACGTGGCTGATGTTCTTTAGCTACATATGGTTTTTTTTTTTTCTGCTTTCAAAGTGCATCATTATCACATCAACATATCCTAACCATTACAGGTGCCTAACTTAATTTATTTATTATTTTTGGTTTGGATAACCATAGTGTTGTTCATCTGGTTTTTATATATCTCAAGATAGTATTAATTCCATCTCAAGAGCATACACATGCATCACATCAATTTGATGTATTTAAGAAAATTAATTTCTTTAAATATTGATCACAAGTCATAATACTTAAACTTTAAATTTAATTTGTAAAATGATACTTATTTACCAATAAATTTAATCATTATGATTGCCTAACTTCATTCTTTAGTCATTCCTTTCGGTTAGTTATCGGACATGTTATGGATTCTCATTCTTCTTATACCATGAACTCTTTTAGACAATGATTTTGATTGTCCCATCTCAAATTAAAAATATTGGGTTAACTAGCTACTCAAATGATTTAGATTATTAAAAGTAGCAAATCTTAAATTTTATTTATACAACATTCCAAAGAGTGTGACGTGTATAAAGA